ACAAAATCAATCAACCTAATCCATCACATAAATAAAACAAAAGAATCACATGATCATGTCAATCACTGCAGAAAAGGCATCTGATAAAGCTCAGTACTCATTCCTGATAAAAACACTCAGAAAAATAGGAATAGAAGGGAAATTCCTCAACATAATAAAGGGCATTTATACAAAACCAACAGCTAACATTATTCTCAACAGAGAGAGGCTGAAAGCAATCCCCTTAAGAAAGGGAACCAGACAAAGATGCCCTTTATCACCACTCTTGTTCAACATTGTACTGGAAGTCCTAGCTAGAGCAATAAGGCAAAAAAATGAGATAAAGGGCATTGAAATTGGTAAAGAAGAAGTAAAACTATCCCTATTTCCAGATGATATGATCCTACACATAGAAAATTCCAAAGACTCCACAAGAAAGCTACTGGAACTAATAGAAGGATTCAGCAAAGTAACAGGATACAAGATCAACATACAAAATCACTTGGATTCCTATACACCAACAAGAAGAACTTTGAAAAAGAAATCAGAAAAACAATACCGTTTACAATAGCTCCCCTCTCGAAAGATAAAGTACTTAGGAATACATCTAACCAGGGACGTAAAAGACCTATACAAAGAAAATTACAAAACACTACTGCAAGAAACCAAAAGAGACTTACATAAATGGAAAAACTTACCATGCTCATAGATAGAAAGACTTAACATTGTGAAAATGCCAATACTACCCAAGGCAATCTATAGATATAATGCAATCCTGATCCAAATTCCAACAGCATTCTTTAACGTGATGGAAAAACTAATCACCAATTTTATATGAAAAGGAAAGAGGCCCTGGACAAGTAAAGAATTACTGAAGAAGAAGAACAAAGTACGACTCCTCACACTGCCTGATCTCAGAATGTACTATATAGCCACAGTGGTCAAGACAGCCTAATACTGGTACAATGACAGACACAGACAAATGGAACAGAATTGAGAACCCAGATGTAAATCCATCCACCTATAGACAGCTGATCTTCAACAAAGGCCAAAGTCCATTAAACGGGGGAAGAGACAGTCCCTTTAACAAAAGGTGTTGGCAAAACTGGATGCCCGTCTGTAGAAAAATGAAACAGGACCCATACCTCACACTATACACAAACACTAACTCAAAATAGGCCAAAGGACATAAATATAAACCCTAAAACTATGAAGATCATGGAAGAAAAAATAGGGATGATGCTGAAAATCTGTTGCCATTGAGTCAATTTGACTCATAGCAACCCTATAGCACAAAGTAGAACTGCCCTATAGGGTTTCCAAGGGGTGGCTGGTGGATTTGAATTGCTGACTCTTTGGCTAGCAGGAAAGCTCTTAACCACTGTGCCACCAAGAAAAACGCTAGGGGAGCTAATACATGGCATAAACAGAACACCAAACATAACTAAAAATACACAAATAGCAGAAGATGAACTAGATAAATGGGATCTCCCAAAAATTAAACACTTAAGCTCATCAAAAGATTTCTCCAAAAGAGTAAAAAGAGAACCTACAGACTAGGAAAAAAATTTTGGCTGCAACATATCTGACAAGGGTTTAATCTCTAAAATTTATAGAAAATATCAACACTTCAACAACAAAAAGACAAAGAATTCAATTAAAAATGCACTAAGGACATGAATAGACACTTCACCAAAGAAGACATTCAGGTGGCTAACAAACACATGAAGAGATGCTCACAATCATTAGGCATTCCAAAAAAA